ATATAGCTAAGAGGAAGGCCCTCTAAATTTCAGGGGGCTTATTTTGAAGAAAATAGGGGTAGGATTATGCTCTTCGTTTGCACCTGACTTTCAATTATTCTAGCTGCACAATCCCTACCAGTTGCAAACAATGAATGAAGATTAATTACACTACAGATCATTACAAATATTCATATACTGTATATATTTGTGTGTATTTAGTACAAATTATGCATCAATATTACGCATAGGCTCTGTTGTGGTAGATTATACTCTATAACTTTCAAAAAAGATTCTTCCTTCTTGATTCAAGATATGTGATAGAAACACATTCTGGGGGATGAAACGAACTGTACACCAGTACTAGGGACCCTCACATTTATTCTGCGCATGCTCCAGAACTATCAAGCAGTATTTTAAGAATTCTACATTACATATACTTGCTGCTTTCTATGATTCACTGTAGGTACGTATCTTGGCAAATTCTTCACTCTTAGGGCTCTCTTTTTGTTCTTCACACTTTATTTTAGCTAACAAAATTTAACATCCCAACTTAGATCAGTTAACCAGTTTTATGCGGATCTTTTTTTAAAGGGGAGAATCCCTTTGGTCAAATCCACAAGCTAAACTTTTAAAGTGCAGACTCAAGATCACCCAGCCACATGGCAGAGTGATCTGCGTCAACAGATACCAAGAACTGCTAGGTGATACTTTAGCTTCACAAGGGATGAACTTAGATCAGGCCAAGATCTGCATACTGTAATCCAGGATACTTTGGAAGCAGCCTGGCCATTTGCAAGTCTGGGGTGATTGGCCAGACATTAACCCCTGATGAGTCTATTTCTAGATTGTTTCTCACCTGTGCCCACCTGTGGAATAAGCCACACTCTCGTCACCGCTATTCACCACACACACAAACACACATATACTTTCATGTATATATAGATAAAGATGTAGATATAGATATACATACATCCCCCCCCCCCCCCCCCCGAGAAAAAGCCTGAGGTTTCAGCCACCACCTCTAAGCTTTGACATGTACTTTTCTCTTTTTAGACCTTCGCAACTGATACCTTTTTCACAGAATGACTTCTGTTACCTGCTCAAGAGTAACAGCTCAAGAGACTCCTAGCAAAAAAAGAATATGGGAAAAGAGCATCTGGGCTCATTCACCATCTGGGCTCAGAACCGCCACTGCCTTTGAACTTACCTGGAAACAGAGGATGACCCAGGAGAAGGAAAGGATCTGATGCCCGTCTGCTCCGCGTGTTGGATGACCCTGCTGGTTCCAGCAGGAGCCTTGAAATGTGGCAATGCTACTGCCCCTCCTCCCTTTTTCCCAATTCGGCCTGGCCAGCTGACCATCCTTCTCATATCGCCTGTTCCCCTGGCTGGATGTTTGTGACGCAGGGAGATGTCTGATAGGGCTGGAAAGAGAGAGGGCCAAGCTGTCCACTTCAGCTTCCAGAATCCAGATGGCTCTGATCTGCTCTGGGCTGGACTGACCGATGGAAGGGAAGGAGGATAAACTTTGCAGAAGGACCTGCTTCCCTTCTCATTTCCACCATCTGCTCTCCAGGAGCCCGAGGCCAGCTAATTTTCTAGTGTTTACCCCAACCTTTTTTTATTTGCTATAAAAGCCGCTTCAACTGTTTCTCTCCATCTCAGCAATGTGAAGATGGGTGGACTTCAACTCCCAGAGGTTCTCAGCCAGCTATGCTGACTGGTGAATTATGGGAGTTGAAGTCCATCTGTTGAGGTTGAGAAACACCACCCTACATAAATGCATGGATGTATATGTTCCTGCACAAAGTTTTTGTTCTTTCAACTGATCGCTCTTTTTGGAGATTCCATCGACTCCATTCAATTGCGACTTTCTCAGTTTTGACTTCATCTGCAAGAGTATGCGTAATATTAATAATGGCTTACTTTACAGAGATGTTGTAAGGGATTCTGAGTTTGTATCAGTATAGCACATGTATCTCTGAGAGTGTTCTGGGGAGAGGGGTAGGCAATACCTCAGTGGCTTACAGAACAGACTCTCAATTAGAGATGCTCCATGACAATGTCTTGCTGCAAATACTGTAGTATCTGAGCATGCATGGAGCAAAACACACAAGTTCTCCTTGTGTTCTATTGAACAAGGGCTAATTGTCCAGAACTATCCTTACCATTAGCAAGAAACACTGCATGTGGCACAGGTACAGCAAAAGCTGTCTTACACCTCCTTTGTATTGCTAAATATCTTATGTAAAAACATTGGATCCAAGCTGTCACAGTCAACAGAAGTTAATGTCTGTGGGCTCCTCTATATCTACATATTGTATCAAATGGCTTTAATTTCTTTGTGTTTTGCATAATGCTGTGGAGCTAGAAAACGGGTAGCACAATTAATGCACATGTATGCTTGTTGTAAAGATTTAGTGCCCTTGTCTGTGACAAAGCAAAGTGGCAGAGTCTAAACGCTGCTTTGTACTACCAGTTTCAGGCTGTGTAGGGGAGTGATATTTTTGAATGAAGTCTTCTTTCTAGATTCCTTACGCAGAGGGGAAAAAAATGCATCAGGTTCCACGGAATAAGCCAGGTAGAGCAGAGTTATTAACTCTCATAACTTCTTCACAAGTTCCTTCAGCGTACAGGTAGTCCTTGACTTACGACCACAACTGAGCTCAAAATATCTGCTGCTAAGCAAGACAATCAAGTGAACTTTGACCCCATTTTATGACCTTTCTTACCACAGTTAAGTGAACCCAGATGTTCAGTTAGTAACACGGTTTTTAAGTGAATCTGGCTTCCCCATTGACTTTGCTGATCAAATTATCACAAAAGGGGATCACGTGACCCAGGGACACTGCAGCCGTCATAAGTATGAGTCAGTTGCCAAGTGTCTGAATTTTAATCACATGACCATGAGGATGCTGCACGGTCACAAGTCATTTTTTCAGTGCTGTTGTAACTTTAAACGGTCACTAAATGAACTCTAGTAAGTTGAGGACTACCTGTATTGGAAGTCATGACTCTATTGTTTTTTACAGACGATTTTTATCTTTTCTCTTCACGCAGCCTGAAAAGAGACCATGGGAATATTCAACTACTAGATGATCTCTCCTTGAGCAGAATTGGCATCCAAATCTCCAAGAGTTCTGTTGTTTTGGATCAAGGGGTACACACCCCATCTTGCAGCAGTGAACACCCTAAACTAACTTTGCATCACACCAGTTTGAGAAGAATAGCTTGTCTGTGCTATTTTTCTTAAATTCCCAGCTTGTGTGTGTGTGTACTTGGTGGGAGACTATTTTGCACAAATGTTTCTTTGAGCAGGGAGTTAAAATCCAAAGAAAAGAGGGTTTTGTGTGTGTATGGTGTGCTTTGTGAGTACAAACATGGCATTTGACATTGGAGCCCAGCCATCATCTTTGCCATGTTCTCAGTTTATTGGATTCCCGTGCCCCCCTCTTCCCCATTCTACCCCACCCCCTCTGGGTCTTTTCCATTTAGCCTCCTAGCTTTTTCTATAGGAAGTCATGCTATTTTGTGAATGGATATTCTTCCCCATCTCATGACATGTATTTTAGGAGAGCCTCAACAAGGTGTTTTCAACTCTTCAGGTGTCCCTGTCAACCCTGAGTGATTTTTAGGACTCCTCCAGAGATGCTGCTAAGAATGGATATATAGAAAAATTATCAAATATGATTATAATCCAATAAATACAGAGACTATCCCCAGAAATGGATTCCATATTCTCAGCATCCATTTTCTGGGTTCTGTGAGACCCATGTTGGCGAGACCCATGTTGGCAACAGGACCTTGTGACACCCAGGCCTAGCTAATGTAATGCATGCAAACTACCAATTGTGGCTTTTTTGCTAAAACATAATAAAATAACCCACAGCTAATCTGGGTGCAATGCATGAATTTAGTCTGAGCCTGCAGCACATTGCCTGTTGATTGGGAGACTAAAAGTACACAAATCATAATTGCTGGTCTGTAGCAAAGACTGTGTAAACCCTGCTATTCTGGGTTGAAAACCATGGTTGTGTTATTGTGCTATGTAAATTGAGCCAGGAGTACTTTATTCAACAAACTCTTGCTTGATGTGTTGCATGAAATAGTCTGTGTGGACATTTACAAGCCGCTCTTTTAAGATGAGTCTCAATCTTGACAACTTTTTAAGATATATATGGACTTCAACTCCCAGAATTCCCCAGCCAGCATAGTTGGCTGGGGAATTTTGGGAGTTGTAGTCCATATAAAAGTTGCTGAGACTTGAGAAACACTGCTTCAAATTCTATAATTTATAAATGTGCTTTAAGCAATGGTAATGGGTTTTTAAACTCTGTAAACTGGATTCCTGCCTCTGGGAAGGAGTATATATGTGATTCAAAGCATTTGGTGTGAATGTCAGCTAATCTGTGGTCATGCTTAAGTCCTTATCCAGCTTTATCCAACATGATGCCGCCAGCCCAGTTGGACGATAGCCTCCATAAAGGCCAAAAAAAAAAAAAAGCCTCCTACTGGTAATGAAGATCTTATTTGAACTCTACCGGCAATAATAATGGAAAATCGGTGAAAAAGCAGAAGCGCTTTTTGGACAGGAACTAGCAAACCGTGGCAGACCACGCTCTTGCCAATATTTAAAATGGCCGCTAGGCCACAGCAGGACGGTTCTTGCCCTTATTAAAGATGGGGACGTGCTCAGCTGTCCGTTTAACAGCTGTTTCTTACCGTTTGCCCTGACCCGAGATGGCGATTTCCCTTCTTCCCTGCCTTCTCGACGGAGAAGCCTTTGCCAGCTTACGAAAATGGCGGCACCGGCGGGCAAAGGGAACGGCCGATTGGCCTCTTCGTCAGCCCCGCCCCTTCGCCCCGCCCCTTCCTTTTCTGCCCGGAATAAACATGGTGCCACGAAACGCGATTCGAGAACACCCCTAAGGAGTTCGGAAGGAGGGAAGCCCAAGTTCTCCTGGGAAGCCGCTGAAGCAACGGCCACTTCCGCCGAGCAGAGACCTCGCCAGGAGTAAAAATGGCGGAGTCGGTACTAGAAGTTGTCCGAAAGCTGCAGTCTCGGCTCGCTTCGGAGCCAAAGAAGGTAGAAAAAGGGACCCCGAAGGGAGAGGCAAACGGGGCGGGGAGTGGCTCTGGGGTGGCCGGATGGCGGCTGGGGTGACCCGGCCAGGGGGGACCAGCAGGGGTCCCTTTAGAAGGGCCACGGCGAGGGGTGGGAGAGACGAGGGGTGCCTGAGTGAAAGAGGGGGACTAGCCGGGGGGCAAGCGTGAATTGGGCAGCGGGTGGAGGGGGGGCAAGGCAAAAGGGGCTGCGCTTTGGGGGCAAAAGGGGGCGACCGAAGGTGCAAGTGGGGTACTCTCCCCCCCCTCCGACCGTTACTGGACAAGCGAAGAGCTGCGAGTTTTTCAGGCTCACCAAAAGACCCCCCCCCTTGAGGATGCTATACTTGTGCTGGGTACGTGTACAAATCACACATATATATATATATTGAACATCCATCCCCCGATTAATGTATATACGTGTGTGTGCATATATGGATGTTCGATGGGAGAAGCAGAGGCCGGAGAGAACAGCAGTTTAACGGCTGAAGTTTGAACGCGGGAGAGATCCATGTCCATTGTCTGCTGGGGGGGGCTGGTTTTAGGGGTTGTGGGTCCTGTTCCAGATGGACAAGGCAAAATTGGGGAGGGGGTGTCACGGATTCCAGAGGGGGTTGTCATGTCCCTTGGGGGGGGGGTGAGGGCTTAGCCCAAAAAGGCTGTTGGGGCGTTTTTATTGCTCTGTGTGTTTTTAATAAAAAAAAATTAAATCTAAAAGTAGTACTGTAAGCATCATTATTGTCATCATCATCATCAAGTGGGCTGTACAGTAGTCGCCAGAGGCTTGTAGAAATGTGTGAATCTCAGAAGTGCCACAAGAACACTGTGGAACTTGTGCAGATCTGGGGAGGGGGTTGTGCATGTTGTCTATCTGTTCTTCCAAACATCCAGGGAAGAGCAGAAGAAGATGCTGGCAATACTATTTGAATCACATCTGGTGGTTGGTTTTTTTTATTTATTTATTTATTAAACCACTACCAGTAATCTAGTGCAGGATCTCTGCTGTTTGCATCAACTTTGCAACTGCTGAAATAAACCTCTCTTGCAATCCTAAATATCTTTAATTATGCTACTAACCTATAAAGAAAACAGTCAGAAGTTAGAAATCTGCAAAGGAGCAACTGTGCTAAGTGATTTCCTTTGTGTCCTAAAGATGTAAGAAGCAGAAAATGAGGGAGGCTCTTTAAATAACAGTTGAAAGGATGAAGGACTGGAGTTCCTTTTTTCTTTTGGTTCAATGGATTTTTCCTCTACCTTGCAGAGCAGCATCCACTGAATAGTTTATAGTTGTTTTTTCATTGAAAGGACCTGTTGTAACGATAGAAGAGAGGTATATGATAGAGGGCAAAACTAGTTCTAGAGCATAAGTCTTGCATCTTTAAACCATCAAGCAAAGAAATGTCACCTCTAAAAGCATTTCATGGAAATGAAGGCTTGAACATTTTGTGTTTGGTCAGGAGCAATCTGAGTTACTTTTTTTTACTTGGAAAAACCAGATTCAAATGGTCCGTTCCTTCTGGTGTCTGGGAGTTAAGGACTATTGAGATGTGTACTTCAAAATACTCAGGGCATGCTTTGAAATTTGCATTTAAAGTGCAAATTGTAACTCTTTTCTTGATTCATAAGTTTTCTAATGGAGGAACCTGCAGGCATAAAGCATATCAGGCTGCATGTGTGTGCCAGACTATGTAATCATAGCAGCTCAGAAAGATTTGGTCCCTCTCTAATTCTACCCCCACCTCATCCACACCTTTATGCACCGACTATGGAATTCAGTGGGTCTCTAGTCTATGAACAGTAGATGGTGCTCTTGTGCTCTCCAGAAATCCTCTTTTCTGTCTGATTTGTATTGTCACCCTTTGTTTTATATTTATTTAATTTTTATCCCACCCATATTATTTGTATTAATAAATCAAGGCAGCAAGCATACCTAATATTCCTTCCTCCTAATTTCTCCACGAAAACAACTTTGTTAGGCGGGCTGGGCTGAGAAAGAATGACTGAGTTCAACAGGCAACTCACGAAAATCTTGGTCTCTTCTTTGCACCTCCTTCCCCCCCCCCAGAGATAACTTCTCTGACCAAGTTTGATGCTAAATTACTATTTTTAGGTATCAGAGACTCCTTCCAAGTACTTTCTCTTTTATGGGTGAATGGTCAGAAGGAATGTTTAAAAAAATACTTCAGAATTGAAAGAGCTGTTGGAATGGAAGAACGCACATTCAGTTTGGGGTTTGGGTTCCATATTTTGCTTTTGCCCTGTATTAAATGCAGATTGTACATTCAATGATGATTAAATTTCTAGAAGAATGAAGGTACTGGAACACCGGAGTACTAATTTTAGAGATCAAAAATGTTTTTGTATGGATGTAAGCCACCTTATCCCCAGTTGTCATAAGTTTAGGACGGTTCTCAGTCATCCAGGTCATGACATAGTGGTATCAAAAGTGGTTTTTATTTTTGAAAAGGCAACCGGACTGATTTTTTGAGGAAAAAAGATGTTTCGCTTCCTATTCTGGAACCTTTGGTCAGTTGTACTGGACGTCCAACTGGCCTTCAACTGTCAATAACTGTCATTCCAACTCCAACACCATCCAGTACTATTGATCAAGCTTCCAGATGCCTTTTCAAAAATAAAAGCCACTTGTGATACCCGGTTGTCATTGTCCAGAGATTTTTAGAACTGGGACTTGGTCATGTTGTTGAGGACTTTAGAAGTGGTCCTCTCAACCAGCTGCATGGCTCCACCCTGGGAAAGGCTGCCTTTAAAAGAAAATGTATTACAGTTTGGAAGGCTAACATTTGATGGATGTTGCATTCCATTTGTTAAGCTATTGGTTGCTTTTATGAAATGGCCTGTCACGATGGAAGATGAGAGTGGGTTCCCCCCCCCTTATTATTGAGCATTTCTGTTGATCAGCAACGTTACACCAAGGCTTAGCTAGCATGGGGGGAAGGTGGGTGAGGCAAGATATATGGTGAGCCTTTTCCCAAATTCTTCAGACTATTGAAGGTATCCAGAAATATTCTCCTTGGGAGAGACCTGCCTCTGACCCAATTGGATTTTCTCTTACTTTTGGTTCATCACGAGGGTGGGTTTCCCAACAGATTTGAGGGCTAGCGGCTCTGGATCCCTCTGATCAAGCCTACAATCCTTTTGTGGGTGGGAATGCTGCAGCCATAAGATTTTTGCTCTGCTTCATTTGTCTGCAAAATGTTAAGCCTGCTCTTTCTGTGGCATCTTAGCAGCTCTGTGGGTTTGTTTTTTGAACTTCTCGGCCACTGTAGAAGAAAAGGCTCTCCATTGCAGAGCTGAGTTCTCAATCCTTTTCTGTTCCCCTCTGCAGCTGATGAAGAATTTGAAGAGACTTTCTGAACTGCCAATTACAATTGACATTCTTATGGTAAGTGTTATTTTGTAGTATCATTTCTTGCCCTCGGAAACTTAATCCCGTTGGCAATTCCAAGTATTGCTGCCCAGGATGGTGGTTCTAGGGCAGTGATGGCGAACCTTTTAGAGACCGAGTGCCCAAACTGCAACCCAAAACCCACTTATTTATCGCCGGGTGCCAGGTGGGCTTGGCCCACTGGGTGGACGTAGCTGTGGTGGTCATGGCAGACTGGGTGGGTGTGGTCACCTCGATGTTGCTCGTGGGGAGGGATGCCTGTGGGGGCCGGGCAGGGTTGGGGGATCCAAGGGGTCTCTGGCAGGTGGGGCGGTGGGCAGGAGGCTCGTCCTGCGGGGTGAGGCGAGGCAGGGCAGGGGTGCCATTGTCGCAGGGCAAAGTGAGGCAGGGACCGGGGCGGCCTGATACCATTGGCCCCCCACACACACAGGCCAGCAAGCACATGGGGGCTGGGATGCATCCGGCCACGTGGGACCTTGGCGACTTAGCGGGCAGCTGGTTGAAGAGGGACGGTTGCCATCTCCGGGGCATGGTGCGCGTGCCCACAGAGAGGGCTCTGAGTGCCGCCTCTGACACGCGTGCCATAGGTTCGCCACCACTGTTCTAGGGAGTGAGAAGTTGCAAATCTGAATAACCTCTCCGAAGATTGATTATTTATAAGTTTGGATAGCATGGTATCTCACAACAGCAGTAAAACCCAATAAACTACAGCTCTTGGTGACTCTTTCTACTATGGCACAGTGTCCTTTGAATCGTCTAAGCCAGGATGGGGCTAAATCTGTCCTGTTGTGATGACGCTGTCCTAATTACAAATGAGAAGGCTCAGACAGAGCCTGCAAAATACATAAGGAAAAATATTTTGTTGCTCCACATATAGTCTGCTAAGCCATAACTGTGCTTTGAATAAGTCACAGCTGGGCTGGGTTACTATCTTGCATTCAGCCATCATTGGTTTATTTGTTTTAGGTCTAGCTAGTTGTATGAACTCAGCCGTTAACTAGCTATCATTGTCAAAAGCTGGTTTTCTGCATCCTTTCCGCAGGAGACTGGAGTCGGAAAGACGGTGAACGGTTTACGAAAACATGAACATGTTGGGGAGTTTGCCAGGAACTTGGTAGCGAGATGGAAGAAGCTTGTGCCAGTTCCACAGGAAGCAGAGCGGTGAGTTGGGCCTTTATAATATCTCTGCTCTCGAATGTTTCTTCTCAGTAGACAATGTCCTTGTATAGTTCATCTGCCCTCAAGAACAATTTGAAACTCTGTTTCCCGATACTGCTCCATTGCCTGGTGGAATGCGCTAAATGTCCCCTTAAAGCTTTAATAGCCGGAGAGAACGTAAACAATGAAAGATCAAGATGTTTTGATAAAATAATGTGAAGGGGAAAAAAAAAAGAAACGTGCAGGCTTTCTAGACAATATATGAAGAACGGTTGTAGGATTTGGGTATGGCTAGTCTAGAGAAAAGAAGGACTAGGGATGACATGATAGCAGTATTTCAGTATTTGAGGGGCTGCCACAAAGAGGAGGGGGTCAACGTATTTTCCAAAGCACCAGAAGGCAAGACAAGAAACAATGGATGGAAACTAATCTAGGAGAGAACCTGGAATTAAGGAGAAAGTTCCTAACAGTGAGAACAATTAACCAGTGCCTTCAGAAGTTGTGGGTGCTTCATCACTGGAGGTTTTTAAGAAAAGACTGGACAGTCAGTTGTCTGAAATGGTTTAGGGTCTCCTGCTTGAGCAGGGGGTTGGACTAGAAGACCTCCGAGGTCCCTTCCAACTGTATTCTATTCTAAATTCTAGTCTAGAAACTAGATAGAGGTTGGCTGCATTCTGTTTTGGAGTTAAGAATAAGATGGGACTAGGCCAGTGGTGGCAAACCTATGGCACGGGTGCCAGAGGTGGCACTCAGAGGCCTCTCTGTGGGCCCGCGTGCCGTCGCCCCAGTCCTAGGCCTTCAGCTGGGTTTTATAAAACCTTTTCGCTTTAGGCCTCCACCGCCATGTGCAAAAAAAAAAAGTTCTATCAGTCAATTTCAACTTCTCGCAGGAAAAAAAAGATCTTGCAAAGTTGAAATTGATTGATTGAACTTTTTAATCCCACCCAGTCTGCCGTTACCACCGCAGCCGCACCCACCCAATTGGCCACACCCAGCCAATGGGCCACACCCAGCCAATGGGCCACACCCAGCCAGCACTCGACGATGCATAAATGGGTTTTGGGGTGCAGTTTGGGCACTCGGTCTCTAAAAGGTTCGCCATCACTGGACTAGGCAATCATAGCCTTAGCTTAGGGTTTCAGTAATTTTCAGTTAGATTCAATAATCCAATTCTTTCTCCGTTTTTCTTTTTTTTAAGGCATAATCTCGAATCTACAGCACAGGGCTATGACCAAAACATCTCTAGGAAACGGCAGCGAGACCTTCATCCCAAAGAGGATGAAAAGGCCTACTCAGAGACATATCAGCCTTCTTGCAGCCAGTCATATGAGTTGGATTGTGGAACTAAAAAGACCAAGAGGTATTCAGACCCGGAAAAATCTGAGCACGATGAAAGCTATGGTATTCCAGAAGACAGGTCATGGAGGAGAGGCTCCTCTGACCTGGAATGTTCTGATTATGGACACACAGTCTCCTCTGAGCTCAGTGAAAGTCCTCAGGAACTATATATGGACCTCCATCATGCTGCAGAAGAAGAAGAGAGGGAGCAAAAATCTTTTCCCCCAAAGGGGACTAAAAGCCACCAATTTCAGGACAGACAAGAGGCTACTCCTCATAGGAACTTCAGTGACTCTCAAGATAGGGCTAGTTCAGGTCGGAGCAAAGAGCCTAAATCTTCTCACAAGGAGAGGCAGCGGCTAGAAACCAAGGGGAAGGAGAAGACACCTGTATTTAGCCCAGAGAGATTACCAAAGGCTTCTTCATCCCATGAAGCTTCCTTAACAAGCAGCAGCAAAGAGAAGCTGAAGGCCCTGGACAGCCTCAAACAAGACAAGAAAAAAGATGGCAGCAGCATCAAGAAGGAGAAGGCCCACTTTGACCTGGACGATAGCTTGAACGAACATAGGAAGAAGCAAAAAACTCACGACTCCGAAAGGGCCAAACCAATAAAGATGAAACTTAGCGTGGAAACCGTCTGTGGAGATCGGGAGAAACCAAAACCTGTGGGTGATTTGCCCAATAAGAACAGGGAGAAGAAGACTCCCAGCAGCGTTAAAACCTCTGAGGGCAAAGCCAGAGGCTCTGAATCAAACAAGAGACTGGCGGGCTTCTCACCTTCCAGAGAGGGAGAGGTGGAGGATGAGTTTGAACAGCCCACCATGTCCTTCGAGTCCTACTTGAGTTACGACCTGCCTCAGAAGAAGAAGAGAAAGATGGCCAAGCCCACAACTCCAGTCCCAGAGAAAGAGAAAGGACCTGGCAGGCAGAACGGTTCCAAGTGCAGTGCCAAGAGCTCAGACCCGAGCCGGAAGGCTCCCAAGCCACCGAGCGAGAAGAAGCCGGAGGAGCCCCCTAAAGCAAAAAAAGTAAGGGTTTTTTTTGTTGTTGTTGGGGAAATCATTGCTTCACTGTTAACCTTTTCTTGGGCAAATTGATGTTAAAGGCAACTGAATGAATCTAGCGCTTCAGTAATCCAGTTCACGCAGCCCTCTCACAATGGGGCTTATTTGGGGACGTCGCCATGTGCATCTAGCCATCCTAATTTATAAATCATTGCAAATGAGGGTTCCTTCAGCAAACTGGTTAAGCCAGTCAGGGCTTGCATGCCCACAGGATTGTTTAGCCCAGGGTTTTTCAACCTTTTCACCCATTGTACCACTTTTAGGATATGGCAACATCCGAGGACCACCAGTCGCCTAGCAAGGTGTGAAAAACCTGATGACCCCCAAAAAAAAAAAAAAGGGAAAAAGTGATAAAGTACAGGTAGTCCTTGACTTACCACAGTTCGCTTAGTGACTGTTCGAAGTTACAATGGCACTGAAACAAGTGCCCCCCAAGTCACAGCCGAGCAAAACACCTGCCTGCCCACCCGGCGGCGCTCTTCCTCCTATCCGAGGTTTTCATTGTTGTGAGCATTTCTGTTGAGGATTGGCGGTGGGGTGGGGGGGTGTTTGGTTTTTATTCCCCCCGTCTGCTGGGTGGTTGCGGCAGCTTTTGGTCACTTCACATGACCCTGGGACACTGTGACCGTCATAAATATGAATCAGTTGCCAAGCATCTGAATGTAAATCACAAGACCCTGGAGATGCTGCAACATTCCAGCTGATCGGCGCTTCTTCTGGGCTCGGCAGAAACACCAGGATCAGTGCTGGTTTCCAGCTGATTGGTGCTTCTTCAGGGCTCAGCAGAAGCACCAGGATCAGCGCCGAGCTCCAGCTGGAGCCTGGCACTGATCTTGGCGCTTCCACTGAGCCCTGACAGCCCCGAAGCGCCAATCAGCTGGAAAGTGGCACTGATCCTGGCGCTTCCACTGAGCCCTGACAGCCCTGCAGCTCCAGCCGTCTCTCACTCAGGCTTGTGCAGTGCTGCCACTGGTTCAGCTTATTCCCCTCCCCTACTACCACTTTTCTAGGATGGTCGTGTACCACCTGCCATGTGCCAATGTACCACAGGTGGTACCCGTACCACTGGTTGAAAAGCCCTGGTTTAACCCACCAAAGTGAATGCCAGACGAAGGTCCTGCAGGCTTCAAAGGCAGCCTGTGTTTCTAACAGTTTGGGCCCATTAATAACTAGTTCTGCCCCAGAGGCTTTTCAGATATGCTACCATCCAATATCCACCGTATCCATGCTGGTTGAGGATGATAGCCGTTGTAGTCCCGTCCTTTCGAAAGGGGCCAGATTAGAAAAGGCCAAGTTTAGTAGGAAAGGAGTCCTGTTTGAACTTCCAAGATGGAGCATAGAAATCTGTTGAGGATGTTTTCATTCTCCTCCCTGTCTCTTTGTGGATAAAAATGGAACTCGGTCCTTTTAAAAAACAACTCCCGTTGAGTCAGCTAGCTTTGGGATAGGTGCCGTTTTCTCTCCAGGGGAAACGAAGAGAGTCCTTGGTGCCACTGAACTTGGTTGTTTGCAGATGTTTCATTACCCAATTAGGTAACACAATTGCAGCGAGTGGGATTTACCCTCTGCCCTCTGCCAGTATACTATTACCTGCCAAAGAAATATTTAGCTACATCATTTCCATTGTTTGTAATGCAATATATAAATATTTAAAATAATGTTTTGAAGTTATTCCCTAGACCAGGGGTAGGCAACCTTGGCTCTTTTATGAGTCGTGGACTTCAACTCCCAGAGTTCCTGAGCCAGCATAGGGGAAAGTTTGGCCCCTTCATGACTTGTGGACTTCAACTCCCAGAATTCCTGAGCCAGCATGGCTCAGCTTGGAAACCTCTCCCTTTCCCCTCAGCATGGCTGGCTCAGGAATTCTGGGAGTTGAAGTCCACGAGGCATAAAAGAGCCACGGTTGCCTACCCCTGGACTAGTCCTACCAGTTTCTGATAATCTACTCCTGTCAGGCTTAATAGACTAGTACAGAGGTAGGCAACCTTGGCTCTTTTATGACTCGTGGACTTCAACTCCCAGAATTCCTGAGCCAGCATGAGGGAAACGTTGGCCCCTTCATGACTCGTGGACTTCCGCTCCCAGAATTCCTCAGCCAGCATGGGGGAAGTATGGCCCCTTCATGACTCGTGGACTTCAACTCCCAGAATTCCTGAGCCAGCATGGCTTAGCTTGGAAACCTCCCCCTTTCCCCTCAGCATGGCTGGCTCAGGAATTCTGGGAGTTGAAGGCCACGAGTCATAAAAGAGCCACGGTTGCCTATCCCTGGACTAGACCAATTTTTCTATAGGTTGATAGGTAGGCAGCACTCAGCGCTGAAAAAAGTAGAAGGTTAGAGGGCACAGTTCTTTGAACTCCCCATCATTTCTAATAATAACAGAATACTCGACATGTTTGAGTTTACCTCTGTTGAAGTACGGCCTGCTCAAAATGTCCAGTGAAAAGTTTTGTTGTGAGTCTGTTTGGTTCCAAGAATGAATTTCCCCCCCTCCAGCAAATACAGACTTTTGCGTAGCTATCCTAACCAAGCATGGGCTTTCTCCCCTCCAGATACATATTGATGTGGTGCCGATGCTTCCCGACATCCCATTGCCTCCAATCCAGGCAAATTATCGTCCTCTCCCTTCAATGGAGATGATCTCGTTCACCCAGCCAAAGAGAAAAGGTAAAGTCAGTGGGAAGCTTCTTGAGGCTTTCATTTACTTTTTCTAAATGTTGTGGCAGAGTGATAACAGAAAAGATCGCATAGTTTTGGATTTTTCCGCTACCTTTTATTCACTTGTATAGGTCTCCTTCCTCCTGCTACATAAATACAATAAGAAGAGATGCCAATTTGGATTCAGAGAAATAGTCGAATAGCTCAATTGGCAGTTGATAATTTCTCTGATGCTTTCCGAGAAGGAGAGGAATGAGATTGTGGCTTTGCTTCCAAGCATAATGCATCTCAGCTGTTTGATCGTGAAGATCTTTCGTGCAGTGAGGAATCCTCTGCATCACATTAAAAGCAGGAATAAATAGTTTTCGTTCACTGTCCCAAAGTTGAGCTTATTCCCTTGAATTGGAAGTGGGGATTTTTCATGTAAGCCACCTAGAGCAGTGGTGGCGAACCTATGGCATGCGTGCCAGAGGCGGCACTCAGAGCCTTCTCTGTGGGCACGCGTGCCATGCCCCGGAGATGGCAACCATCCCTCTTCAACCAGCCGCCCGCTAACTCGCCGAGGTCCCACGTGGCTGGATGCATCCCAGCACTCATGCGCTCGCTGGCCTCTGTGTGCGGGGGCCGATGGTGTCAGGCAGCAGCCGCAGCAGCCGCCCCAGCCCCTGCCTCACCTTGCCCTGCGATAATGGTACCCCCGCCCTGCCTCACCTTGCCTAGCCTCACCCCACAGGACGAGCCTCCTGCCCACCGCCCCACCTGCCAGAGACCCCCTGGATCTCCCCCAACCCTGCCCGGCCCCCACAGGTGTCCCTCCCCACAAGCAACATTGAGGTGATCACGCCCACCTTGGCCACACCCACCCAGTGGGCCCTGACCACCACAGCCATGCCCACCCAGTGGGCCACGCCCACCTGGCACCCGGCGATAAATAAGTGGGTTTTGGGTTGCAGTTTGGGCACTCGGTCTCTAAAAGGTTCGCCATCACTGGCCTAGAGCAGGGGTAGGCAACCTTGGCTCTTTTATGACTCGTGGACTTCAACTATCAGAATTCCTGAGCCAGGCATGCTGAGGGGAAAGGGAGAGGTTTCCAAGCTGAGCCATGTTGGGTCTGGAATTCTGGGAGTTGAAGTCCACGAGTCATGAAGGGGCCATAGTTCCCCCATGCTGGCTCAGGAATTCTGGGAGTTGAAGTCCACGAGTCATGAAGGGGCCATAGTTCCCCCATGCTGGCTCAGGAATTCTGGGAGTTGAAGTCCACGAGTCATGAAGGGGCCATAGTTCCCCCATGCTGGCTCAGGAATTCTGGGAGNTCACTCAGGCTTGTGCAGTGCTGCCACTGGTTCAGCTTATTCCCCTCCCCTACTACCACTTTTCTAGGATGGTCGTGTACCACCTGCCATGTGCCAATGTACCACAGGTGGTACCCGTACCACTGGTTGAAAAGCCCTGGTTTAACCCACCAAAGTGAATGCCAGACGAAGGTCCTGCAGGCTTCAAAGGCAGCCTGTGCTTCTAACAGTTTGGGCCCATTAATAACTAGTTCTGCCCCAGAGGCTTTTCAGATATGCTACCATCCAATATCCACCGTACCCATGCTGGTTGAGGATGATAGCCGTTGTAGTCCCGTCCTTTCGAAAGGGGCCAGATTAGAAAAGGCCAAGTTTAGTAGGAAAGGAGTCCTGTTTGAACTTCCCAGATGGAGCATAGAAATCTGTTGAGGATGTTTTCATTCTCCTCCCTGTCTCTTTGTGGATAAAAATGGAACTCGGTCCTTTTAAAAAACAACTCCCGTTGAGTCAGCTAGCTTTGGGATAGGTGCCGTTTTCTCTCCAGGGGAAACGAAGAGAGTCCTTGGTGCCACTGAACTTGGTTGTTTGCAGATGTTTCATTACCCAATTAGGTAACACAATTGCAGTGAGTGGGATTTACCCTCTGCCCTCTGCCAGTATACTATTACCTGCCAAAGAAATATTTAGCTACATCATTTCCATTGTTTGTAATGCAATATATAAATATTTAAAATAATGTTTTGAAGTTATTCCCTAGACCAGGGGTAGGCAACCTTGGCTCTTTTATGAGTCGTGGACTTCAACTCCCAGAATTCCTGAGCCAGCATGGAAGAACTATGGCCCCTTCATGACTTGTGGACTTCAACTCCCAGAGTTCCTGAGCCAGCATGGCTCAGCTTGGAAACCTCTCCCTTTCCCCTCAGCATGGCTGGCTCAGGAATTCTGGGAGTTGAAGTCCACGAGGCATAAAAGAGCCACGGTTGCCTACCCCTGGACTAGGCCTACCAGTTTCTGATAATCTACTCCTGTCAGGCTTAATAGACTAGTACAGAGGTAGGCAACCTTGGCTCTTTTATGACTCGTGGACTTCAACTCCCAGAATTCCTGAGCCAGCATGAGGGAAACGTTGGCCCCTTCATGACTCGTGGACTTCAGCTCCCAGAATTCCTTAGCCAGCATGGGGGAAGTATGGCCCCTTCATGACTCGTGGACTTCAACTCCCAGAATTCCTGAGCCAGCATGGCTTAGCTTGGAAACCTCCCCCTTTCCCCTCAGCATGGCTGGCTCAGGAATTCTGGGAGTTGAAGGCCACGAGTCATAAAAGAGCCAAGGTTGCCTACCCCTGCCCTAGACCAATTTTTCTATAGGTTGATAGATAGGCAGCCTTCAGCGCTGAAAAAAGTAGAAGGTTAGAGGGCACAGTTCTTTGAACTCCCCATCATTTCTAATAATAACAGAATACTCGACATGTTTGAGTTTACCTCTGTTGAAGTATGGCCTGCTCAAAATGTCCAGTGAAAAGTTTTGTTCTGAGTCTGTTTGGTTCCAAGGATGAATTTCTCCCCCCCCCCCCACACACACACAGCAAATACAGACTTTTGCGTAGCTATCCTAACCAAGCATGGGCTTTCTCCCCTCCAGATACATATTGATGTGGTGCCGATGCTTCCCGACATCCCATTGCCTCCAATCCAGGCAAATTATCGTCCTCTCCCTTCAATGGAGATGATCTCGTTCACCCAACCAAAGAGAAAAGGTAAAGTCAGAGCGGGAAGCTTCTTGAGGCTTTCATTTACTGTTTCTAAATGTTGTGGCGGAGTGATAACAGAAAAGATCGCATAGGAGTTTTGGATTTTTCCGCTACCTTTTATTCACTTGTATAGGTCTCCTTCCTCCTGCTACATAAATACAATAAGAAGAGATGCCAATTTGGATTCAGAGAAATAGTCGAATAGCTCAGTTGGCAGTTGATAATTTCTCTGATGCTTTCCGAGAAGGAGAGGAATGAGATTGTGGCTTTGCTTCCAAGCATAATGCATCTCAGCTGTTTGATCGTGAAGATCTTTCGTGCAGTGAGGAATCCTCTGCATCACATTAAAAGCAGGAATAAATAGTTTTCGTTCACTGTCCCAAAGTTGAGCTTATTCCCTTGAATTGGAAGTGGGGATTTTTCATGTAAGCCACCTAGAGCAGTGGTGGCGAACCTATGGCATGCGTGCCAGAGGCGGCACTCAGAGCCTTCTCTGTGGGCACGCGTGCCATGCCCCGGAGATGGCAACCATCCCTCTTCAACCAGCCGCCCGCTAACTCGACGAGGTCCCACGTGGCTGGATGCATCCCAGCACTCATGCGCTCGCTGGCCTCTGTGTGCGGGGGCCGATGGTGTCAGGCAGCAGCCGCCCCAGCCCCTGCCTCACCTTGCCCTGTGACAATGGCACCCCTGCCCTGCCTCACCTCACCCCGCAGGATGAGCCTCCTGCCCACCGCCCCACCTGCCAGAGACCCCCTGGATCTCCCCCAACCCTGCCCAGCCCCCACAGGTGTCCCCTCCCCACGAGCAACATCGAGGTGACCACGCCCACCTTGGCCACACCCACCTAGTGGGCCATGACCACCACAGCCATGCCCACCCAGTGGGCCACGCCCACCTGGCACCCAGCGATAAATAAGTGGGTTTGGGGTTGCAGTTTGGGCACTCGGTCTCTAAAAGGTTCTCCATCACTGGCCTAGAGCAGGGTTAGGCAACCTTGGCTCTTCTATGACTCGTGGACTTCAACTCCCAGAATTCCTGAGCCAGCCATGCTGAGGGGAAAGGGAGAGGTTTCCAAGCTGAGCCATGTTGGCTCTGGAATTCTGGGAGTTGAAGTCCGCGAGTCGTGAAGGGGCCATAGTTCCCCCATGCTGGCTCAGGAATTCTGGGAGTTGAAGTCCACGACTCATGAAGGACCCATAGTTCCCCCATGCTGGCTCAGGAATTCTGGGAGTTGAAGTCCACGAGTCATAAAAGAGCCAAGGTTGCCTACTCCTGGCCTAGAGTATAGCCCCGCGGCGAGACAGGCAGCAACTAAATTTGACAAATAAATAAATAATGGAAAGGCCTTCACAAACTGAGCTAGTGCACAAGTGTAAACTTGCTGTATCAAAGCCCTGTCTGGTAGCTGTAAACCAGATATTCCGTGCAACTGCCGTGAACTTTCCTGCATCATGTGGTGGGGTTGGAGTATATTTTTGGTCTTCCGTGACAAACACCCCCCCCCCAGGCTGGATGATACCCTGGTCTCTAATGAGTCTTTTCTCTGCTTTAATCTTCCGCTGGCTTTGCAGCACTCTCCTCCCCAACTCAAGAGGACGAGGCCGGTTTCACCGGACGTCGGTTGAATTCCAAGATGCAGGTGTACTCAGGTTCCAAGACGGCTTATCTTCCGAAGATGATGACTCTCCATGAGCAATGCATCCGGGTTCTCAGCAACAATATTGATTGTGAGTCCCACCGGTTGGCCTGCGGGCTGCGAAGGGGAAGGGGTTTGACGGGGAACTTAAAATCAGGATATTTATTTGTTCATTAGGTTTATATGGTTGCCCAACTCACGGTAACAACCAGGCAGCTTTTGATTCCTGGTACTGAACACAGGGACTCCTTGACTTATCACCATTTGGTTAATGACTGTTTGAGATTGAAAACAAAAAGTGACTTAACAACTGTTCCTCACGCTTGCAACCGTCAACAGCGTCTCCGCAGCCATGTGATCAGGATTTGTGTTGCTTGGCAACCAGCACGCATTCATAGCAGTTGCAGCATCCTGGGGGGGGGGTGTCATGTGATTGCCGTTTGCAACCTTCCCTGGAAGCTCCCAACAAGCAAAGTCAGCGGGGGAAGCTGGATTCGCTTAAGGACTGCCCGATTCACTTAGCAGCCCTGGCAAAAAGATCTTAAAATCAGGCACAACTCACTAGACTGCCTGGATTAGCAACGGGGAATTTTGATCCCAATTGTGGTCGTAAGTCGAGGAGTACTTGTGTATCTGTCAGGCAAACATTTGCATTAGAGCAGGGCTTTTCAACCAGTGGTACGGGTACCACCTGTGGCACATTGGCACCTGGCAGGTGGTACGTGACCATCCTAGAAAAGTGGTAGTGGGGGAGGGGAATGAGCTGAACCGGTGGCAGCACCGCACAAGCCTGAGTGAGAGATGGCTGGAGCTGCAGGGCTGTCGGGGCTCAGCGGAAGCGCCAGGATCAGCACTTCTTTGGGACTGTCAGGGCTCAGTGGAAGTGCCAGGATCAGCGCCAGGCTCCGGCTGGAGCTCGGTGCTGATCCTGGTGCTTCTGCTGAGCCCTGAAGAAGCACCAATCAGCTGGAAAGCAGCACTGATCCTGGTGCTTCTGCTGAGCCCAGAAGTGCTGATCAGCTGGAATGTTGCAGCATCTCCAGGGTCTTGTGATTTACATTCAGATGCTTGGCAACTGATTCATATTTATGACGGTCGCAGTGTCCCAGGGTCATGTGAAGTGACCAAAATCTGCTGTAACCACCCAGCAGACAGGAGGAATAAAAACCAAACACCCCCCCACCCCATCCCCGCTGCCAGGAGGAAGAGAGCCACCAGGTGGGCAGGCAGGTGTCTTGCTCGGCTGTGGCTTGGGGGGGCACTTTTTTCAGTGCCATTGTAACTTTGAACAGTCACTAAGCGAACTGTTGTAAATCGAGGACTACCTGTACTTTATCACTTTTTTTTTTGTCATCAAGTTTTTGACACCTTGCTAGGCAACTGGCCCTGCACTAGACATACCCAGTTCCTGCAACTGTTCTTCATATGTTTTAGCCTCCAGCCCCCTGATCATCTTTATAGCAGCATACTGTATTTGGGTCAGTCCCATACTGTTCCTACCTTAATAAGTGGGACGGGCTGATGGGATGGGGCAAAGCCGGTTCCATGGATATGCTGGCCCTATGCAATGTAAAGCTTTATAGAAGGGGTCCCCAAAACCCCCCGGTCTGTGAACCGGCACCGGGCCGTGGCATGCCAGAAACCAGGCTGCACAAACAAGCGAAGCCCCCCTCCACGGGATGCAGGCAGCACGCGAAACCAGGCCCCCTCCGATCCACGGAAAAACCTCTCTCTGCACGGAACCGGTCCCTGGTACCCAAAGTTTGGGGGCCCTGTTTTATAGGTAATAACCAACACCTTCCTAGTCATTGCATACCTGTCCCAAAGACAATTAAGACAGGAGCTTCTGTGAAAGGAGAAAGACTGAAGAAGGTGTCTCCTACCAATATTTTTCTCTTGTGACCCTTTTTGCACTACCTTTGAAGGGCAATGCTAGGCTTAGGAGCCAAATGCTGAGCTCTTTGGCTTTAATTGGGATTTCATCCACACCTTGTGTAAAGCTAGGGTTTGCTTATAGTTTTTTAGTGGAAACATTGGAAGAGAATAAATAAAGTACGCTCCCAGTGGTTCCACTGAAAGAGACAGCGGCATAAAGAGACCATCTGATCTCGCCGGGATTGGCATGAAATCACCCATGAAACCATAGTTCATGGTTTAACCAAAGGGGCTAAACTGACAGCGGTGTGCCTTACTACTGCCACTTAGTTCTGTTTCATCCTAAAGCAGTCTGCCCTTCTGTGGTTCCTTGCTTCTCTTTCTAGGGAAAAATTGATCTGGACAACATCTATTAATGTCTCGGTTTTATATTTTGCACCCATGACATTATGGGAAGACCATGGTTCCCTTGTGTGACCTAAAAAACATTCTGGTCCTTCTATCCATACTTAGCTGATTTTATGCCTCCTGAATTTCAGAAGATGCTGCCATGTGCCGCGATGCATATAAAACCAAGTATCTGTTTCCCACTTGGAAAATGTGCCCTGAAAATGAAGAAAAACCTTGTCTTCTTTTTTCTCCTAGCAATCTACGAAGTGGGTGGTGTCCCATATTCTGTAATCGAGCCTGTTTTGGAACGCTGCACGCCAGAACAGTTGTATCGCATTGAGGAGTACAATCACGTGAGTGTTACTAGATAAGAGGGAATGGGATGTGTTGATCACTGATGAGTCTTCACCATTTGTAGCAAGACCAACAGATGGTTCAAATAAGGTGTGGTTTAATCTTCAAGGATTCTGCTTGTCTCTGCTCCAGGATTTAAAATTAAGACATTGCTCCCGTTTGTAGCACCTCTTTAAACGACAATGGCTAAATTTTATTTACTCAAGAGTGCTTTCTACCTATGGATGTAACTCAAAAACAGCTGGTATAACATCAGTATAGGGGATGCTGTATTTAAGAAAAATACTCTTATTTTTTATTCAGATGACATAAATGTGCAAGACAAAATATACAGGAGGGAGTTAATTGAAGGATATAAATTATGTATAATAAATATAATGTTCATTATGTAATAATACAACCTCTGACAGTGATATCTTAGAAGAAGAGTCAGTAAAATAACAGCACTATGATTAGATAATAGAGAAGAGCCTCAGAAAATGAAAACTTCGTAGAAAAGCAAAGATTTTGAGAAACGGTTTCTGTAGAGCAGTATTTCTCAACCAGGGCAACTTTAAGAGGGGGAACCTCAACTCCCAGAGTTCCTCAACCATCAAGAGGAACTGGGCTTGGAAGTTCTAGGACAGTGGTGGCGAACCTATGGCACGGGTGCCAGAGGCGGCACTCAGAGCCCTCTCTGTGGGCATGCGAGCCATCGCCCCAGTCCTAGGCCTTCAGCTGGGTTTTATAAAACTTTTTCGCTTTAGGCCTCTGCCGCCATGTGCAATAAAAAAAAAGGTTCAATCAATCAGTCAATTTCAACATCTCACGGGGGAAAAAAAAGATCTTGCAAAGTTGGAATTGATTGATTGAACTTTTTAGTCCCACCCAGTCTGCCGTTACCACCGCAGCCACGCCCACCCAATTGGCCACACCCAGCCAATAGGCCACATCCAGCCAATGCGCCACACCCACCCGGCACCCAACGATGCATAAGTGGGTTTTGGGTTGCAGTTTGGGCACTCGGTCTCTAAAAGGTTTGCCATCACTGTTCTAGGAGTTGAAGTCCACACATCTGAAAGCTGTCAGGTGGAGAAATACTGCTGTACAGAGACACTAATTTTGACCTGCTCTGCAAGGTTAATGAAAGTCCTTTGCAGATGATGATACCAGTACATGATACCAGTACTACCAAATGACAAATTGGCATTTGGGATTGTGGGTGAGTGGGTGAGGAAGATATTGAGGTTGCCCCCCACCCAATGAATTTCGGGACTTGGCTATTAGCTAATGAAGCTAATGAATTGGACAGATTTCCTTCTGTGCCAGCCTCTCCCGTAAAGGGTATAGTAATAGCTAGCTTAAAAACCTGCTCTTAATTACCCTGGGTGCTTTCCAAGCATATTTGGTAGAGGGAATTAAATTGGATCTTGGCAACGTTGCCACATGTTTGTCACCAGCTGCTGTTCTCCTTAAACATTCCTCTAAGGAACAAATAACGATCAAGCGAGACAGAGTGGCTTTAGAGATGGGTAAGCATCTACCCCTTAATTTTCTTAAACCCCACAAGGATGAACGGCAGCAAAATGACTAAGGGGCAGGTGATAAAAGAAGTCTCTTAAGAAAAACCCAAGAGGTTCTGAGCACCTGGAAGGCCATTCTGTAAGCCAGGGGTAGTCAACCTTGGCTCTTTTATGACTCGTGGACTTCAACTCCCAGAATTCCTGAGCCAGCTGTGCTGGCTCAGGAATTCTGGGAGTTGAAGTCCACGAGTCATAAAAGAGCCAAGGTTGACTACCCCTGCTGTAAGCCCTGGACATTGCTTCCTTTATCACCAGCCCAAATAGCAAAGAGGATCAAATGTGCTACTTTTTGAAAGTTGTCCTTGTTGACAAAAGCGATTCCATTCCTCTCCAGTGAATAAACCTGGATTTGTATAATTAGTTCTCAACTTGAGACTGCAGTTGGGAGCAGAATTTTGGTCGTAGGTTGTGTGGCATTCACGTGACTGGACCTGGTTTTACAACTTGGGGTTTTGTAGTATTTCCCTGTTGTTGTTGTTGTTGTTTTAAATCTGAGAGTATATCTTCCAGTTGGCAGATTGCATCTCAAGACAACTAGATCTTGGTTCATAAAGGTTTTGAACTTGTATGCCCTCAGAATAATTCTCTATTTAGTCTTTCTGAGGTACTCCAACCCTAGGCTCAATCTTCATTTGCTCTTGTCCTCCAGGTTTTAACTGAAGACACCGATCAGTTGTGGCACAATCACTGCCAGCGTGATTTCAAGAAAGAGAAGCCAGATGAGTTTGAGAGCTGGAGAGAAATGTACCTACGGCTGCATGATGCCCGAGAGCAGCGACTTCTGATGCTAACGCAAAACATCCGTTCAGCTCATGCCAATAAGCCCAAAGGTAAGAGTGCTGGGCGGAGCGATTGAGCGGGCATGGAGACATGGGGATATTGGATGTTGACTCCCATCATTACTTTGGCTGTGCTGGCTTGGAATGAAGGCACTTGAATTCCCATAGGTCTACCAGGGGTCTTCAAACTTGTCCCTTTTATGACTTGCGGATTTCCAACTCCCAGAATTCCTCAGCCAGCGTGCCTGGCTGAGGGATTCTGGGAGTGGAAGTCCACAAATCATAAAAGGGACAAGTTTGAAGACCCCTGGTCTAGAAGTTGCCAGGTCTTGGATGATGGGCTGCTAGAAATCAGCTCACAGTGAATAGCTGTGTGGCCTTTTGAACAACTGGCAACCCTACCCAGCTTGCCAAGTTGACGTTGGCATGTTCCAAGTAGGATAGAGTTCCCTATTCCTTTAACTCAGAGGATGATGGAGGTTCCGGTGAATACGGAGATTCTCAATCATCCAAGTCATGATTGTCCCAAAGGTGCTTTTTCCAAAAGGCAAGTGGACTTTCTTGGTTTTTTTCCCTTGAACAGAAGTTAGAACTGAAGAAGCTTCTTGGATGAGAAGCGAAACAATTTCAAGGGGGGGGAAAAAACCAAGTCCACTTGCCTTTGGGAGTTCCAATGAATAGGGATGCCCATTTATGAGATTGCAGATCTGACTTGATGTGCTCTTGGGCTGAAACTAGCCTATAAAAGCCTTCACGCTAGAAACAAGAGTGATTGTGGGCATCATCGTGTCTTAGAAGTGGAGGGAAAGAAGAACATTTCCACCCAAGAGGAGACATGTTTCTTAGCCATCCTCTCCCCATCAGTTATCACAGGGATTTTCCTTCCACACTTTCTGAGTTGACCTCTCTTTCCTGGCTTTGCTCCTTTTATAGCCAGAGTAGCTAAGATGGCCTTTGTCAACTCAACGGTCAAGCCACCCCGGGAGGTGAGGAGAAGACAAGAAAAATTTGGAACTGGAGGAGCAGCTGTCCCAGAGAAGATCAAGTACGTTTTGTATGAAGGCTTTCGCTTTATCTTCTTCTTGAGGGGTGAGCAAGCTGGGACAAGCTGCAGGGAAAATATATATATATATATATACATGGAAGGCTGCATCTATCCTGCCTATCGGAATTCATTTTGGGAGGAGACGCAACATCGCGCGTGATTGTGTTATGGCTAGTTTTAGACACCTATGTACCTATCTTAGGCATCACCCGTGCTCCCAGCAGTGCTTTAATACAGCAGCTGTTGTCCCTCCTATGATTGCAATTAAATTATTCTCTTCGAGAGAAATAATGGTTTAACCCAGTGGTGGCGAACCTGTGGCACGCGTGCCAGAGGCGGCACTCAGAGCCCTCTCTGTGGGCATGCGCACCATGCCCTGGAGATGGCAACCGTCCCTCTTCAACCAGCTGCCCGCTAACTCGCTGAGGTCCCATATTGCCAGATCTATCCCAGCATCCATGCACTCACTGGCCTCTGTATGCAGGGGCTGATGGTGTCAGGCAGCAGCCGTCCCGGCCCCTGCCTCACCTTGCCCTGTGACAATGGCACCCCGCCCTGCCTCACCTTGCCTCGCCTCACCCCACAGAACGAGCCTCCTGCCCACCGCCCCACCTGCCAGAGACCCCCCTGGATCTCCCCCAACCCTGCCCGGCCCCCACAGGTGTCCCTCCCCACAAGCAACATCGAGGTGATCACACCCACCTTGGCCACACCTACCCAATCTGCCATGATCACCACAGCCACGCCCACCCAATGGGCCACGCCTACCTGGCACCCGGCGATAAATAAGTGGGTTTTGGGTTGCAGTTTGGGCACTCGATCTCTAAAAGGTTCGCCATCACTGGTTTAATCTTTTAAACAAAGGTGATGAGCGGGCCACTAAGAAAATGCGACCTGGCCCTAAACAATGAGGACAAAAATAAAATGGATTTTTCCAGATCCAAATTCCTGATGCTTGAGTGAAGAGGGAGCAATTGATCTCCAGTATCTCTGGTTGTTCCTGGGTGGCACATTTTCTGTGTCTATTACCAGTCCAGGCTCTGCCACAGAAATTGCCTCGGTGGCCCTGGGCAAGGGCATTTGTTGACTCTGCAGTGGGCAATTCCCGACCGCTCACCATCTTCTCTCTCCTCAGAATCAAACCTGTGTTCTTCACGCCAATGAAAAGTAGCAGCGTTCACGCTGAAGAGGAACCGGCTTACGACAGGCCCAGCACCAGCAGCGGCCTCTCGGGGTCATCCCTGGGCAGCACTTCATCCGTGACCTATGACCCGAGGAAGCCCCAGGTGAAGAGTAAGTGAGCTGATTAAAAAGATTGAGGGTTTTCATGAAAAATACTTTATATTGATCTCTAATGGGCTTAAATTATTTTTACGTGATTTAAAGTGAATGTGTCCATTTTAACCTTTGATACAGTAAAGATTGGAGGCTCAAGCATATAAGGAATGGTTGCTGGAATTGGGTATGTCTAGTTTAACGAAGAGAAGGACGAGGGGGGACATGATAGCAGTATCCCAATATCTCAAGGGTTGCCCCAAAGAAGAGGGAGTCAAGCTGTTCTCCAAAGTGCTTGAAGGCAGGACAAGAAGCAACAGATGGAAACTAATCAAGGAGAGAAGCAACCTAGAACTAAGGAGAAATTTCCTGACAGTTAGAACAATTAACCAGTGGAACAACCTGCCTCCAGAAGCGGTGAATGCTCCAACACTGGAAGTTTTTAAGAAGAGACTGGACAGCCATTTGTCTGAAATGGTGTAGGGTTTCCTACCTGAGCAGGGGGTTGGAGTAAATGACCTCCAAGGTCCCTTCCAACTTTACTACTACTACTACTACTACTACTACTACTACTACTACTACTACTATTATTATTATTATTATCATTATTATTATTATTATTATTATTAAACATAACAAAATATCCAAACAAAAGCTCTTTTACGGGGGAGGGGGTGTCTTTGTGTCTCCATAATTTTTTAAATGGGAAGCAATTCAGAGGGCAAAAAGCTTAAGAAATCTTGACCGTGCAGAATCCTATCAGACAGTCTTCCCCCTCTGCTGTAAAAAGCTGATTCAGAAGCACAGTTTGATGGGCAAAATGTCTGGTTCTGCACAATTGCAGCACTCTAGCCCAAATGAGAATGATACGTAAATTAGTGTGATGTGTAAATATATGTCCTTATGTCCATAGAGAAAGAAATTGGTAGCCATTAATGTGTGCCTTGCAAATATTTTTTTTTTCCTACTAGTAAAATAGAATTGGCTTGCTTCCTTAATGTTTCGAAACCTTTTCCTTCAAGTGCAAGTCCTGATTTGTATTCTGTATATATATCTGTGCATCTTAACGCTGCAGCTTATATGCAGTAACCTTTCTTTTCTCTCTTTTGCCTTTTTTTTGTTTTGCAGAAATTGCACCTATGATGGCAAAGACTATCAAGGCTTTCAAAAACCGATTTTCTCGAAGATAAAGGCACTGTCAGGCTCCAGTGAATGCGAAGGAAAAAAGTCTTATGGAAGCAGTGCTTACAGGAAAATGGGAATTTGTTGGGGGGTGGGGTTCCTCAAATCCCCCAAAGCCCTATTTAAGACCAACTGCACAGTATTGTTCAAAACCCCCTTCCAGTTTTCTCCCTTTGTCCCCGTAATTTGGTTTTTATCTGCCAAGCGTTTTGCAAATGTGAAGTCTTGGCACCTGGCTGAGACATGAAGGTCCACAAGCTATAGCTCTTTCTTCAGTCTCTTTTTTCTGGACTCCAGAATGGAAAGAGACCCGCCTTCCACCATCTGCAGTGTTTTCTTTGTCAGCCCTTGGCCAGTTGTAAGACTTCAGATCTGCTCTTCTAGTGTCCACTGTGAAAGACCATCTTTTTCCAGATACTGTTCACGATTAAGCAACCTCTGCTGAACGACCTCTTGAGACTTCTACAATCTTGGTCAATCTTCCAGCAAATGAATTTCCCCAGACATCATCATTTTCTCCTCCTTTCTGTTTTACAGTCGCAGCTCTTTAAGTGTTCATCTCATGCCTAAAAACCCTTTATGCCAGATACAAGTTGATTGGCTTTTCTATACGGGGACATCTGGAGGTGCCACTGTCGTTCTGTTCACTTGGCAAAGGAAAAATAATAATAATAATAAAGTAAGAGATGGGTACATGTCATTTTAAACTCTTAGGGAAAAAAAAAGCAGCACAACTCAGGAAGCGAAGAATAAGTCACTTTGCACACATCTGGATTTTAAGCATTCATCGGAGGTTTCTTATTTTAAAAATGTATAGTGACGATAATGGGGATAGGTTCTCCCCTCCCCATTTTAAATTGAAAACAAGGACTTAACATTAGATTTTTCCTCTTCTATCCCTCTGGTTTAAACAACAGAACAGGCACTTTAATTCACTGTTACCCTTTAAAGAGCTCCATTGACAAAACCTCACTCATCTAGGAGTTTTGGATGCTCCAGAACAGAAAAAGATAGGCCAAGCCAAGGGGGCAGGTTTTGGTCTGGAGCTACAGCATCTGCTATGGAATAATCTACAAGGACATTTCATGCACAGAACAAGCCAGGGGGCAAAAAAAGTTTTGAGAGTGGTCTATCTGTCTCGATGCTTATTGGCTGCTGTTGTTTTAGTCCTGGATGAGACATTGAGTTGATGATTTTATTTATGCTGATGTTGGTAGTTATATGTTGTGGAGGGGAAAGACAGACCTGATTTTGGAAAGCTTGATGGTGTGCTTCCTTAGTGCCACGGTTGAATGAACATTGATGTCCATGTGTTTTGTGAAGGGATCTGGCCTTTTCCTGATGATACGAATGGAGGAAAAAGGGGTTCTTTCCAAGGGCCTTCTACTGCCACCATTTCTGAACTCTGGCCTTCAGGCTTTCTGCTGACACCCAATTACCCATGAGAGTAGTAGTCCAAAAGTCCCATTAAATTTAAAAACCAGCAATTCCTCCATAAATGTAAAACTGGAGGGGATATGTAGTATGTGCCATCTGGGATCAGAAAACTCTCTTGGTATTCTCTGTCCAGTCTAACCAACAATGTCCACTGAAATGCCAATAGTTGGAAGTCGCTGGGGATTTAAATTCAGCTCCAAAACTGCATGAAAAAGACAGCGCCTTTTTCAAAACCCACCATATAATTAAAATTTTACATGCATTTATATGCGTTTTGTGTATGTATGTGTATATGTATGTACACATGCATGCATGTATGTATATATATATGTAGGTGTATATATATATACACACACACATACATATATACACAAAATATGTGTAGTGTGTGTTCAGCCATACACACACACACATGAAAAGCATATAGAATGCGTTTTGTGTATCTATGTCTATATATATATATGTATGTACAAATAGTATGTGTATATAAAGTGCATATACAATTTTAATTATATGATGGTTTTTTAAAAAGGCGCCACCTTCCTCATGCAGTTTTGGAGCTGAATTTAAATCCCCAGCAACTTTGTGCAGCATTTTAAATTAAAGGCAGATTGGATTGAATGATGTTGGATTTTTTAAAAAGTGCTCCTTTTGCGTTGCTGCAGCTAATTTTGTGGATTTTGACATGATATGTTCTTCTGCCAGTTGTTGTACCTGGTGTATTTTCTCCTTTTCATTGTTGGATTTGGTGGTAGAAGGGAGAGCCCAAGAAACCTCTCAACCACAGAAGGAAATTTACAAGAGTCTTGTTGGTCCAACTTGGCTGACACCCAATTAATTAGTCATCAGAGGAGCAGTCACAAAAGCCCCATTAACTTTAAAAACCAGCAATTCCTCCATAAATATAAAGCTGGAGGGGATATGTAGTATGTGCCATCTGGGATCAGAAAACTCTCTTGGTGTTCTCTGTCCAGTCTAACCAACAATGTCCCCTGAAGTTCCAATAGTTGGAAGTCGCTGGGGATTTAAATTCAGCTCCAAAACTGCATGAAAAAGACAGCGCCTTTTTCAAAATCCATCATATAATTAAAATGTTATATGCATTTTGTGTATATATGTGTATATGTATATACACATACATGTATGTATATATATATATGTATACACACACACACATACATACATACACAAAATATGTGTAGTGTGTGTTCAGCCATACACACACACACATGAAAAGCATATAGAATGCGTTTTGTGTATGTATGTATGTGTAAATATATGTATGTACATGTGTGTATATACATATGTATGCATATATACACACACACACATATAAAATGCATATAAAATTTTAATTATATGATGGTTTTTAAAAAAGGCGCTGTCTTCCTTATGTAGTTTTGGAGCTGAATTTAAATCCCCAGCAACTTTGTGCAGCATTTTAAGTTAAAGGCGGATTGGATTGAATGATGTTGGATTTTTTTAAAAAAATCCTCCTTTTGCGTTGCTGCAGCTAATTTTGTGGGGTTTTGACTTATGATATGTTCTTCTGCCAGTTGTTGTACCTGGTGTATTTTCCCCTTTTTGTTGTTGGATTTGGTGGTAGAAGGGAGAGGCCAAGAAACGTCTCAACCACAGAAAGAAATTTACAAGAGTCTTGTTGGTCCAACGGTTAGCTATAAAAATTGGTGGATGATTTTCTCAACCTCTTTTTTTCCCATTCAAGTAAATATCCGGAGAACTTGAAATAATCAACTGGCTGGCTGGAGCCCCTTTCTTGGCACTGTGATATTTTTTGTTTGCAATGGTTTTACTGTAGGACGACACCATTCCCCACCTGAGATGGTACTTCCCAGTTGTGCAGGATTTGAATCCCCGTTAACCCGTGCTGACTACAAGTTATGGGGTTTCCTGTCCAATGTATCTGGAGGAGGCATCTGGTGGGGAAGGTTGGCTAATGCCATCATGATGCCTTTTCATAGCACAAACCTGTCACCAGGTGGACTGACAGCAGTAGTCACTGGTAGCTGCAAGAGTGACTTTTCAAAGCTTGTGTCAACCCCAGGTATTAGGGCTTCATTTGATCAGTGATGGGGAATCCCCTTTAAATGCAGTTTCTATGGCTCTAATGGTCAAGAAGAACACTTGTAGATTAACCACGGCACTGTTGGTACTGTTAATGGACGAAACCATTGGCTATATTCAACTATAATATTTTGGACTAGTTGATTACCTTCTCTGATTAAAGTCAGAGTTCAAATTATATACTGCAAGCTTATCCAAACTGGCATATTCCAGATGTTTCAATTCCCACGTTCTTTCCCAGTGCTCTCTAGGGGGGATTCTGGGAATTTCATTAAGTGACAGCACCTCAAAGTCTGGTTAGAAACCATTTCCATGGAAAGGACTGTAAGAACCTCCAGGTCATTCATCCCTCTCTAATGTCGGAAGTTGTTTTTTATTTTGTTTTATTTAATGTTTTAAATTTGGGCAAAAGTTACATGAATTGGGTTTTTAACTTCATTTTGGAACCTCCTTTTTACTGGTTGAGGATACACAAAAGACTCAGTTGCTGAATATGATAACTCGGCTTCCTTTTCTCATTGGGGACCCCACATATTTTAAAGTGGGTGCGATTTTCAGTTGCACACTACAAGCAAAAGAGCCATAGGAAATTGTGGCCCCCTGCTGCTGCTGCTGCTCCCCCTCCTCCCTGTGTATACTACAAAAAAAAAAAAAAAGGTAACACATCTGTCTGTTGATTCCCCCCTTGTAAATAGTTTTCTATTTTACTTTTTGGTGGTAACTATTGAGATAAATATTTTAATTAGATAACTTATAAGAAATGAATTACATTGTGTATCAATAAAAGCCAAACACTGGAATTTGTCTGTTTTTTTTTTTCCTCTCTGGAACTGTACCCTCTGACACACACCCCTCCCCATGTAACAATTCCTAGACTCTCTCCCAGGTTGTGCTTCCATGTCAAGAAAATGAGGAATGGAGTAATTGGGAGTTTTAGCTAGAAACAGAGGTCCGTGAGAACTTAATGGGGGTTCCATGAGAGATCAAGAGCAACAAGGACAAAATTTCACTTGGACCCAGGCCAGAGACTTTTGTGGGCATTTTTGGAAAGGCCGGCCATGCAATATAGATGCAATTATGCAGCCTAGAATTGAAGAGGCAAAAGGGAAATGTATTACTTTGGTTATGAAATACTGCATGTGCTGTACTGTAGGCATCTCTTTAGATAGCCAACTACATATAGTACTTTATAACCAGAGTTACTTCTGGATCTTTTGGCTGAAGAATTGGGGTGGCCAAAACTTTTAATGGAGAACACAATTAGGTAGCTTTATTGTTCTGGATACTGTTCTAGATTTAAGATTTGGTATTTGTTCAAAGAACAAATTCTCCCTTACAGGAATTTATTGGTAGGTGTTTTTTGTTCATCATGCATTAATGTGCATTGTACAAAAGATCGGTCTGGAGAGAGTTATTTATCTTGAGACAGTCTTTCAGTCATGGCAAACAGCAACACGTATGTGGAAAAGTCCAGCCTTCTTTGCCTGGTTCTACCA